CATGTGTTAGCTTTGTCATCCATTGAAAAGGATATGGTGGATAAATTCGATTATGCAAGTTTCATTAGTGATTTTGCAGCTAAAAATGTGAGAAGAGTAATGCTTATGTGAAAGTTGGTTCAACTGTAAACTGGATATTGCTAAACTATAAAGCAACAAAACCAGATTTTTAGTTTTTTGAGTATTTGTAATGATTGCTTCTTATCTTAATATATGAAAGTAAATTTTTTGTTTATAATTTTAATGATTATATGTGCAAATAAATTTTTATCCATTTATCCATCAACTTTTTTTTTTTTCCAATGTAAGAAAGGTCCTTTTTCCGAAGGTCGCCTTGAGCCCCCTAAATCTCAAGGTCGGCCCTGGTAACCAGTGAGGCCTGGTTCAAATTTATGCTATGTAACACAAAAGTTCAATCAAATACCTCCTTCCTCACACCTTCACAATTACTTCTGTTAGCTATTATAATCAAAGCAAGACAAATAAAATCAACTAGCTAACCTGGTTTTTTATTTAAAGCCACCTGACACGTCTCATCATTTCCGCTTTTGAACTTTCAAAACATAATACAAAATCTAGCTCGACATTCATCTGTAAAATATAACAAAAAGATTATGAGAGCAACTAAGAATAAGCAACTGATACCAAAAATAATAAAAACAAAAACTATAACTATGAATTGGTAACATGAAGAGTGAGTTCTATTTGACTAAAAGGTGCAATCATGGAAATTGATGAAACATTTAGGCTAACTATGTTTTCAGCTGCAGCAAATTTTCTTTGCCGTTGAAGAACCTTGACACAACTTTCCTTCAGGCTTGAAGTCCTAGATAGATCAATGCTCTGCTTAAAAGACAAGGCAAGAGAAAAGAAAAAAAAAAAAAGCTTGATTCATGCAAAAAACAATAATACAATCTTCAAGAAATGTGTCATATACAATGAAAAACCATACCTTAATGCGAGCACAGGAGACACTGTTAGCATTTGTGCTCTGAAAAATTAGGTTACGTTTGGCTTAATTTTGAAACTGTAATTCTCTTTTGGAGTTGTCATTTGAATGTGGAATTATGAGTTGAGTTTTGAAAGAGAAATTTTGTTTGGTTATGAGTTTTTGAAATGTTTTGAAAAGTGTTTTGAAAGGAGTTTTGAAAAAAGTTATGAATATTAAATTTTGAAAAGTGTTTTGAATTTTTGAGTTATATTTTAAGTTTTGAGTTTTTGAATTTTGAGTTGTATTTTGAATTTTGTTGACTTATTTTTTTAATATTAAAATGTTTTAAGAAAAATTTAATTTTTTTATTTTAAACATTTTATTTTATTTTGTAAATATTTAATTTTTAATTTTTATTTTAAATTCAAAACACAACTCACACTCAACCATTCATCTGCCTTCTTGGCTCCGGACCCCCATGAGACTCATTCGGTTTAGCTGCGCAGAATTCCCGAAAAAGGAAAACTGATCTAGTCTCCATGACATCTCTTCGTGCTTGATTCTCTGCCTTCATGATATTCATAGACTCCCTCAAGGCCCTCTCCATCTCTTTGGTTAAGGCACCCATAGCGGCTGACCCACTTGCTCGGGGATCCCCGCTTGTCCCCTTTGTTCGGCACATTAGTTGGGTCTGCTTGCTCGACCACTAATGTCCTAACCCTCCTTTTGGCATCGAAACCTCGTGAACCGATACCTCATGAACCACCTTGGCGAGGCCTACCACGCCTTCCGCCTTTACCACCACGTGCACGACCTCCTCTGACATCCTAATTAGGGACAAGAATAAACAATTTTGCACACTAACACATACGTGTTTGCATCGCATCCCACATGTTACGTCACAATAATTTCATAAATTTCCATTTCACATAAACACTTAGTTTCACACCACATAAACACATTAGTTATAATGCCCCCAAAATAATCGATAAACCAACTTATAAGCCGAAGAATAATAGAAAATAAGATACTTTCATTTATCAAAGTTCGTTTTCAACTAAAAACCCTAAACCTTACATACACAACTAATCAAAATAATTAAAATCAATCTATCATCTTTATATAAATACAAAATCAAACTAACATCAAATAAATAAATAAAAACAACGAATTAAACATAAATCAAGGGAAGTGGGTTTTGTACTCATAGTATTTTTTTGAAGATCAAAGAAGTATTTGGACGATTAATGGAGCCACCAAAACAAAACCCTAACCCTTTTCTTCCTTTTTCTTTTCTCTTCTTTCTACGGTGCGTCTATTGGGTAGGCCGGTGCTTTGGAAGTCTGAGGTGGGACTGGCCCTGCTGGAATGTCCGTATTCTCTTGGACATTAGTAGTATCCCCGAGTACCGGAACCTTAGGTGGGGGTGGGTGCGAAGTAGAAGCCGCTGCTTGTTGTGGTTGTTGTTGCTGTTGCTGTTGAAGCCTAGCAATCACTTCAGCTTGTTGGGCTACAACCTCTGTTTGTCAAGTGGTAAGTTTCGCTTGGCGAGCAGCGTCCCGCTGCATGGCCTCGATAGTCTGTTGAAGTTGACGCATCATATCCTTCATACTAACTGAGGGGTGCTGATCTGTCTGAATCGGTGTACACTCTCTTTCTGAGGTAGAAGCATAAAACTGGGCCCGACTGCGAACAGGTGAAACAGATAGTGACCGCTGAATTGGCGACTGTTGAACCGGTGATCTATGCCTGACTCTCCTCTGTCCCGTAACCGGGGGTAGTGAAGCAAACACTGGTTGTCCTCCAATAAGATCCTTAGATTGGTAAATCCTCCTAACACGAGTTCAGAATGCTCGGGGGGTAACTGCCTCGTTGGAAGCAATTGTGAAATACTACCTTACAAAAAGAAAATAAAGCTAAAAAAAAAGGAAACAACAATTAGCAAATGCACAACACCTTGGCTTAGACAGAAACAACGCGTAGTCGTAATCATAAGTTGGACAATCTGTACTCAAACATTGCTTTGCCCCAAATTTCTGCCTAAAAACTGATACTCTCAAACTGATACTCAGACTTGCAACTGATACATACATTCCTACAAAGTTACACTCTAAAAGTACATATCAAGCAAGTGAGAGCCAAAACACCCCTATGGTGGGGTAGGGTTACCCTGTCCTAATTTCGTCAAGAACTAGGGGTTCGCTACGTAAGCAAGTAGTTTCAAACAAGCCTACATTCGAGTGAGCAACCTGTCCTAGTTTGGAACAGTCTCTATAGCTTCCGATATGCAACTAGGTCGATTGGTCAAAAGAGGTACCTCAGCAACTCGCTCCTATCACTGAGAAGTGAAAAGAGGATCAAACGGTACAACAGTAGTCCAGATCCAAGGTTTGTGTTCCCATCGTGGCAGAGCTGGCAATCGGTCAGCCTTATGGCACGTTTTTCCAAGCGAGCCTCCAGTAAATCGTTCAAGAATAGCAGATGACAAACACTATGACTTAGGCGTATCGATGCAAATGCAATGCAAAGAAACACATAAGTCTAAATAAAACAACATATCATGAGTTCAACTCAAGTTCTCTAAATCCCCAGCGGAGTCGCCAGAAACTGTAGCTCGACTTTCTTCGCGTCTCCTTTCGGAGAGCTCGAATTGGTCCTACAGTTCGGACTCCTGTCACTGTTCTGAATCTAGTCTCACAAAGTGCAATGTGAAACTCATAAACACCAAAGAGTCCAATCTGGCAAATCATTTTGAAAAATCAGATTTTGAATCAAATAATATCAAAGATGGACTGCTTTGCCAAATTACAAAGTCGCCACCTAAATATTTTGTTTTTGGTAAAGTGTAGAAAACTCTGACTCGTGCCAAAGGCTACGTGTCCGCCATCACCAAAGTTGCCTTGGCTCGGGAACTTGGGTACGAGAGGGGAAGGTCCTAAAATGAGCACCCCCGCTCGCCCGATCAAAGATCGGCCTCTACTAAGCATGATATGTTGTTTTATAAACACATGTGTTCTGATTCCGGTTATTAGCTAACTTTACTATGTGATGTACACAAGCAAGTATAGACTAAAATCGTAAGAATTGGAACAAAACAACTCATGTTTGTTTTTGAAAATGGTTTGAAGGTGCCACCCTCAAGTGGGTTAAAACGCGGATTTGCCATCAAACATGATGGGCTTAAAACATGATTTGCTACCGCAAGTGGGTATAAAACTCACATTTTGTTGAACTGTTCCAATTCAAGCAACAAAGCCTTCATCTATAAGCATTCATGCAGTTAATCATTTAAGCACATAGCCTCATGGCAAGCATGCGAAAACATGGCAATATGGTAATCACATTCATGCAAGTATGCTAAAGCATAAAACTCACCGAGTACTCCAAGCCAAAACAAAAACTAATTAGAAAGAATGCATGATCCTAACTATACAAGATGCCTAATGCAACACATGAAATAATGCAATTAATAGGCTCGGCTACTAATATGC